TCTGCAGGTGTTGCTGCTGCACTGAGTCGAGCTGGTGGTCCTGAAATACAGAGAGAGAGTGATGAATTAGTGAAGTGTTTGGGGAAAATTCCCATAGGAGACACAGTAGTGACCACAGGGGGTAACTTAAAGTGCAAGAAACTGCTTCATGCAGTTGGGCCTGTAGGTGGAAAACCAAGTAAGAGAGATAAGCTGTTACTGGAAAAAACTGTGCATTGTGCTTTAAATTTATCAGAAATAATGGAGTTTCAGTCCATAGCCATTCCTTGTATCAGCTCAGGTGTGTCTGGGGTTCCTCTCACTGTGTGCACTGAGGCAACTGTTGCTGCTGTGAAGGACTTTGGCAGTGTGGGAGGTCGAAGTGTGAGGAAAATCATCCTGATTGATAACAGAGAGGAGGCAGTGAGGGCCATGCAGGAAGCATGTGACAGGCTTCTCCAAGGGATAGATACACCTGATGAAGATACAGCAAGAGGAGCCACTGCCAGAGCTCCTGGAGGCAGAGTCCACATGGAGGTTATTCGGGGATCGATCGAGAGCCAACAGGTGAGAAACGTTGCTGTAATGACGACAGTTCACAATAAGACACATTTTCTAAATCTCCTGCTCTTGTCCTAGGTGGATGCTTTGGTGTCTCCTATGGTTGGCCATGATCCTCTCTCTACCCGTGTTGGAAATGCTTTGGTTGAAGTAGCTGGACCACAGCTGACCACAAGGTTTAGAAAGGAAGCAGAAGATGAAACAATGCCTGGTGACTCAGTACTGCTGGAGGGCTTACCTGGACTTCAGTCTAATGCAGTCTTCTTCCTCAATCTTGTTCCCTTTGATGGTGACCCAGACGGAGGTGCAGTCCAGGTGAGATAGTAAAGGAGGGATTTTATTTTTCTCTTTGTTTGTGAGGACAACTTTAGCTTAGCTATTTGTAATAATGCAGTATTTTTACCCATTATAGGTTCTTCGAATGGGCATCAAAAAGATCCTGTCATCCTGTGAGAAGAAAGGATTCAGATCTGTTGCTCTTCCTGTCCTCGGTGCTGGGATGGCCCTGCAATTTCCTGTCAGTGTAGTGGAGAGAGTTTTAATGGAGGAAGTTCATGTATTTGAAGAGGAGCGGGTGGGAATCACACCATTCCTGATCCACATTGTCATTCAATCTAATGATGAGGAGAGACACGAGGTAATGTCAAAGAATTTTACCCTAAATATTGGCTCCTGAGTGTTGCATGTCGAGAAACACTTTGGCAAAGAAAAGATGCGTCCATATCAGTATTTTTTTTTAACTTTTCATTGAATGTTTGATTATTTTCTTTGCAGGCATCTGATATTGTCCAAACTGATAAATTCACTCAAAAGGTCAACGATCTAGGTGAGTATAGAATACTGAGAAAGAATGAAAAATAATAAAACCCAAAGTGCTGGAGTAATGCATCTAAATTTACCAAATTAACAGCCTGAGGGCAATAGCTCAAACTCAAATTATTCACACAGTCCAATATTTCATTATCCTTCCTAATGATTGCTTTTTATAAATTACCGAAAACTTCTTTTAGTTAAACCCCTTTGGCTCTAACTCTGTTTTTCATTTAGGAGTGGGGTTTTTATTACTATAACTATGAACCATGTACTGCTTACTGTTCAAAACCTCAAACCACAAAGAAAAATCTCTTTAAAAAGCAGCAGCAGCAAAAAAAGAGAGCGAGGCAAATGTACTTAACAGAGTGACTGTTCTCCTGTAGAGTCAACAACGATGAGGTTGGTCCTGCTGGGAAAAACTGGAGCTGGGAAAAGTCACTTGGGTAACACCATTTTTGAAGAGGAGCTCTTTGCCACCTACCCCTCTCCAAACTCTGGAACAATGAAATGCCAAACAGAAACCAAAACAGTCAGTGGAAGAAGCATCACTCTGATCGACACCCCTGGTTTCTTTGACACAGGAAGGTCTGAGGAAGATCTGAAGCCTGAGATAATGAGCTGTATGACAGAGTGTGCTCCTGGGCCTCATGCTTTTCTCATTGTGCTTCGAGTGGATAAATTCACAGAGCACGAGCAGGCTGTCATCACTAAGATAGTTCAGTATTTCTCAGATGAAGCTCTAAAATATGCTGTCGTTGTTTTCACTCACGGTGACCAGCTTGACAAAAAATGAAAATTGAAGATTTTGTCAGTCAGAACAAAAATCTGAGTGATCTGGTGTCAAAGTGTGGTGGTCGGTGCCACGTCTTTGATAACAAACACTGGAACAACAACCAGCCAAACAACTACAGGAGCAACCAGTTCCAGCGTGGAGGAGTTGCTGAAAACAATAGAAAAAATGGTGGTGGAAAAAAACGGAGGTTACTACACAAATAAAATGCTGCAACATGTGGAGACGGCAATACAGAAACAGGTAGAGCACATTAGACACTCAATGCCAGATAAAACCCCAGAAGAGATCAGAAACAGGCTAAAACTGATGTGTTGCAACAGCTTTCTCACCAAACTGACAGGGATTGCAACAGGAGCTTTGCTCGGTGCTTTTTTTGGTGTAGCAGCAATGGTTGGATTAGCTGTCACAGCCATGAATAACGTAATGTTAATGAACGCTGTAAAAAAGGCTCCAGCATTAATGGGAGTGTCGGCAGCAGCAGCAGGACAAACAGCATTAGTAGTCGCTGGAGCCACAGGTCTGGGGGCAGCAGCAGCAGCAGGAGGAGTATATGGTGGCTTGCTTGGATATGAAGCAGCTAATGATGCTAAGTCACCATCAGAAGCTGCACAGAGAACATATGAGGCTATAGTGGAGAAAGGAAAGTCTTTTATCCGGTTTAAGTGAGATTTTTTTAATAATTATTATCCAGGTAGTGAAAAGGAAAAAAGTATCTTATTATTTCTTGATGTCTTTACACTACACATATTAGTACTACATACATCGAAGAAAACATTTTAATTATCTGGAGTCAGGTTTGTTGGCAGATAGCTGAAAAGATGAGAAACCAGGCTAAAACTGATGTGATGTGAATGATCTAAATGACAGGGACTGAAACTAGGCCTTTGCTAGGTTTTTTTTTTCGGTGCAGTAATGCTGGCTGAATTTGCTATCAAAGCTGTGAAGAACCCAGAACCGGTGAATGTTGCAACAAAGCGTTTCACATCAGCACATGTGCCAGCTGCAGAAGATCAAACAACACTAGTAGCTGCAGCAGCAGGAGGCGTGGGAGCAGCAGCAGCAGCAGGAGGAGGTGTAATGGGAGGTGTTTGGAAATGAAGCCGCTAAGGATGCAGAGTCACTTTCAGAAGCTGTACAGAGAACATATAAGGCTGTAGAAGGAAAAAGAAAATCTCTGACTCTGTTAAAGTAAAATTTGTTTTTACAATAATCAGATATTCCTGTAAACATTTGATTATTTCATTTTCTTTTGATGTTGTTACATTACAATTAATGTTTACATTTTAAATGGTGGTACACATTACATAACACTTTATTCAATAACAAATGTTTGCCTGATAGCCGTTTGGTGGTGGGAACATATCGTTTGGTGTGTTTATGAGAAATTTTTGTTTAATATGTTTTTTTCGAGCCATAAAAAAATTAAAACAACGAGTTTAAAGAGGCTCACAGGGTCTATAAGTATAGTTATGTTTGTGAGGTTGTTCCTCAGTCCACTGTGATCATAATTTTTCATTCAATTGTGACTAAAGGAGAAAACTGTTTGGGACCATGAAACACATCAGACTACTGAAGACTGAAGAAATTAGGCTGTGTTTGATTTTTCTGAAATTGTCAGATCTCTATTTTTACTTAACTGTAAATGATCTGATAATGATAGAACTACTTGATATATGTATGATATATTGGTGATGTGATTGAAGGATGAAAGATGGCTTATTAAACAATAAAAACACTAATTTCCCAAAAGTTTTCAAAGTTTTTCCATTTGTCTATTTTCTTTTGTTTTCAGACAGGTTTTCCCAGGTCATAGTGTGTGTGAATTTGCATGGGCATACACTCTTTTTCCATTTTACATATCTATTTTTACACATATTCACATTTTTTTAAAAGCTCTTTAGAGAGCTGTCGACAATCTTTAGGGCCACTTGGTGCCAGTACATGATTTTGAAGGTTTATAAAAATGTTGCCATGAAGTGCAATTTTTGCCTCTATTTGTTCCTGTTTACGGTCAAGTCAATTTCTGTCACACTGTTGCATGACAGTGGTATGCAAACTGTGCAAGATTGAGGAACTAGATACCACTCAGGCTATTAGTTCTTTCCTGTAAATATAGGTGAGGCCAAGCACACACTTATTTATTATTCATGCTTTCCATATTCCTAGTATTGACAGCATGCAGCTGTCCTTTCTGTCCTTTTGGTAATCTACTGTAACCTTCGTACTGGTAATGAGGTTTTAATGTACTAAAACTAGAAGAAACTGAAGAAACTTAAAAGCTGTGTTTATGATGGCTTAAAAAGTGGAAGCTTTATATCTTCCAAGTGCGGTGGAAAATTCTTTCTGGAGTTCCCCTGATAAGTGTGTGAATGCAGCATGAACACTGACTCTTCAACAGCTTGGTTATAAGCGACACCTGTTCACTTAGTCTCTCTATACTTGCCTTCAGCTGAAGGAAGGTGATTCTTGGTGTTATGCCAGAGGGAAGAAATTATATCATCTTTGTCATATTTACCACATTGAATAACAGCTTTGAAGTGTTAATATATGCAGGTAGTTTAGTGATAGTGCAACAGTTTCTTGGTGTATGCAGTAGGGAAGAATTATATTTTATCCTATCTTATGTTCATAACTTTTTAAAACACCACTGAATTAACAGTTGAAAGTGGTTAGATATATTCTGCATGGTAGTTTTGTGTAAGGTGCAACATAAGTTTTTTTTATTCAAGTCTGTGGAGGTTGCCAACCTGTTAAAGTTGAATTTGGTGGAGGCTTGTTTCTCCTTCTATTTTCTTTCCTTTGTA